CCCCAAAACCCCAAAACCCCAAAACCCCAAAACCCCAAAACCCCTAATAGGGACTACAGTGTTGTAACAGTTAAGTAATATTATGAACTGATGTACTCTCTTGTGTGCATATCGGGCAGTATTTTGTTTGTTCAGGTTTACTCTCCTTGTTTTTGGTGTAGCAAGGATTGCATTCACAGATATGAAGACATGGTCGGCGAAGCACAGAGGGTTTAGTGTTATCACAGATATTTCATAACTTTGTTATTTTTGCATCCTCAATTGTAATGGAATATTGTGAAAGGAGCTTCTTGGAGTAAATGTAGCAAAATGTTCCTCATGTTATAGCAGCAAGTCCATAAAATATCAAATCTTTTGAATTCTCAAAAATTTTGTCTGATAGTCCCGATATTGCATCTTTTATTCATCCAAGGAAAGCTACAGTTGGATCCGTCAAGCTCAAAGTATCATTTTCTACGTTGTACTCTAAGATTCCTCACACACTTAAAGAATCCCCAGAGCTAAGATACTCAACATTGTATGAAGTGATACTCGTGAGTCCGAGCATATAGAGAGGGTAATAGAAGTAGTTAATCTCTTCCTCTGAAGGTCTTAATTTAGGATTGACACAAGGAGTGACTGTCTCATCATCTAGCTCCACAGAAAGCGAGTCCTTTCCCCCTAAATTAAATGAGGAAACTTCATAAAATTTCTTGCATAAGAATCCATGAGAGAATTCAGTTGTCTTAACCCATAAGTCAAGATTGGAATAGTCAGAGCTTGACTTTACCCCCATTTTATTTCTTAAAGGAACAAGTTTATGCTCAGTAATATCTTTCAAGTAGACAAACTTATTGTGAAGATTTTTCAAATCTTTTCCATGCAACAGCTCAGCAATAGTTTGAGGTTCATAATCAATTTCTTCCAATTGCTCCTTTGCTTTGTATGCTCTATATGCTTTTGATCCAGCAGTGTAGGCGCTAGGAAAATAGTAAAGGAAGCCTCCAAAAGTTGCTGCTCCAACACAGACGTTCACAAAGACAGAATCAGACATGGCTAAATAAAATTATTTAAACCTAAAGGGGTTTTGGGGTTTTGGGGTTTTGGGGTTTTGGGGTTTTGGGG